TTTTTTGATGATGCTCTGACCTTCTGTCAAGATGACTTCTTCCATGCTTCAATTGTTAGTATTATATACGGAAAACTTGGCTTTGAATGATATTACACTTTTACCCTTTATGAATGAGAAACATGTTATATTAAACAAGTTCTACGTTCTGTTGCTTTGCAATTAGATAGTGTGGGTCGTCATCTGGCGAACCGAGATCATTCAATCAGTTACTAAAGAAACAAAGATTATGGTTCACAACCTTGATGGGCATGAACACCCCATCAGAACGGTTGTAGTGTCAACGGTACAATTTTTCTTGACTGATAAGTTGCACTAGTACATTTATGTATTGAACAGGATCCCAGAGAGGAGAAGTTCGTTTTATACTGATCGTCGTAAACGAACTAAGCCTCAGTTAATTACTGCATTTTCTTAATCCGTAAGATATTAAATAGACATATATATGTAGTATATATTATTTTGATTCACATGGGTGAGGTTTAGTGAACTGGATTAATAGTCTCACTGTCTTGGGTAATATTGTTGCATGTATGATGTACTATTAGGATATTTACGGTCACCATGTACGTTTAGCTTGATTATGTCCCTGGAGTTAGTTCATGAAGGATTATTATGCTAAACCCTGCAAGTAGATTAAATTCTGACATAGTAATAATGGGATGAACAAGCGCTAGCTTCAGTGAAATAATAATAAATTTGTTAATTTTTGATTATCAGTAATCGAAGTAATTAATGGATATTATATCTTAAACATGGGGAGGTAATTCAGGTAATTATAGCTGGAGTCTCAATTGTGAATTGGACTAGGAAAATGGAGTGCAATAATATTATGTTGGTGGCCCATAATATTATTTAATTAATTAGAGTAGTGGGTTTGGCCCACAGTTAGTCTAATTAATTAAGGAGCGTTATTCCTAATCTCCTAAGAGTCCCTACTGTAGCTCTATATCTACATCATTAAGCTTATGAGAAGTGGAGAGTGGGAACATAATTCCACATGCATAGTTGCGCGCCTCTCCCCTCCCTCTCTCTCTCTCTCTCTCTCTCTCTCTCTCTCTCTCTCTCTCTCTCTCTCTCTCTCTCTCTCTCTCTCTCTCTCTCTCTCTCTCTCTCAGTTCATTCAAGTTTTATCGTCTTCTTGTTGCTCTACTGGTACAAGTTGAAGAGGTGTTCTGACATATACAGTAGAAGATCCCGTGATCAAGTCAGAGCAGACGAGTCACGACCGAAGCCGCGACCCGCCAGCCCCGCCGAAGCACCGACGTCGCGACGCCAGCCAGAGGACCC